TAAGGGGGGGGGGGGGATTCTTTTTCATACCCACTGTTCACAGTGACAGATGGATGACAGCTCAACTAGAGGCTGTTTAAAAATCTGAGTCTGATTATGGAAAGCAGATATACTCAGCAAAAGAGAAATTCTACCTATAGTTTCCACTAAAACACTCAAACCCTCACCAGAATGCATAAAGATACAATTAGATGCCTATTCCTCATCATACCACATCTTTTGTCAATAAAACTAAACGGTCACACTTTAGTTTAGGGACCAATTCTCATTATTAACTAACTGTTAACTACAACTTTTGCCTTGATAAACTCCTAATTTGCTGCTTATTAATAGTTAGTGAGGTAATTTTTAAGTTCAGGATTAAGGGATCTAGAATATGGTCATGCAGAATAAGGCTTTATAAGTTCAATTCAATTCACGTTTATTGGTATGGCACTTTTCACATTACAAATCGTTGCAAAGCAGCTTCAAAGAAAAGTGAAGTACTAATAAACAGCAAATATGCTGGTAATGTGCATGCTAATAAGCAACTAGTTAACAGTGAGAACTGGACCGTAAAATAAAGCATTATCAACTAAACTTTAGATAAGCGTGTATGTGTGTGTGTGCATTTAATCTCTGATTTAACTTTAACAGGAATACTAATTATGAGTATATGTATTCACATATGGCAATATGGAAAATATCTGTTTTTAAAAACCTTTTGATATTTCAGTATAAAAAAAATACTTATGCATTTTAGAGTAACCAAATTGTGCGTTTTAATGTATTTTTATATTATATTCAATATTTCATTTGATATTATATTAAAAATAATCATTATAACATATTTATAATGATAGAACAAATAGAAGTCTCCCTGTTGTTAAAGTACCAGTTCACTATCATTGTTGCTAAGCATGAAAACAGTTGAAATATTAGTCTCTGAGAAACAGTGCCAGGCAACCCGGTTCCCACCTGAAACCATGTATCTACTCAGGCACTCAGTAATGACAGCTCTGTAACCCGGCACATAAATGACTATTATCAGCACATACTCTCTCGTTTTTATTCTCTCCTCTCCCCCACACACAAACACACACACCGTACTAATCACCTTAGCAGCGAGTCTCTCATTAGCACTGGCTGTCTCTGGCCCTCTCCAGGACCCTGTCAGTATTTTATTAGTCTAGATATCTGCTTGTAGCTGGCAGGTAGCTAATTGACTTGTAAGAGGCCAAAGTGGCAGAAAATCATTAGGACTAAATTAATAATGCAGCAAGGTCCTTCCATCGGAGCTTGTCTTCTGCATAGCAACAGGACCGCCGTGCAGACAAAAGTGAACGGTGAATGAGGGAATTACGAGGATGGAGGAACCTAAGTTACAAAATCTTTGCCATTGCTATCCAGTCACTTATATGTCACATATAAGTATAAAAATGACAACTGCTCTAGCTACACAAATTCAATTTTGTGTGTTGTTGCGTTTCAAAATGTCAGACCGCAGTTCATAATGCAACGCAAATTTGAACATTTTGAACATTGCCACAAGTGGCACTAAAACGAATACTAGAGTAAGCGTTTTTATTTGTGCTTCATGCAAACTTGTTTAAAGTTAGTATGTTTATAGTTAGCTACTTAAATAAAAAAAACATAGTTTAATGTCACATGCATTTAAAGGTAATTATGAGGTTTGTTACAATCACAGCAATACGTTAAAAGTAAGCATTACGTATTTTCAAATGGACCATGGGACATCGGTCAAGCATTAAGCCCTGTTCACACCAAGAACGATAACTATAAAGCTAACGATATTAGCGTCCACACCAGCGAACGATATTGTCGCTTTAAATTCTCGAGCTCGTTATAGCAGGATGGATTCTGATTGGCTGTCAATGTTTGTATCGTTCATCAGCTGGAAAAAATCATTCTGAAAGTGATTCCAATGATATC